TTCTCGCCTCGGCTGTATAGTCCTATGGTACAACATTTGTATAGAATGATGGCATGGTTGACATCGCCACTGGGATCGGCGCGACTATCCTCACTTCGAATGGAACATGTGCCTTGAGTGGCAACTGCCACCTCAAATGATGTGGGTGCATTTGCCGGAGACACAAATTCAACCTCAATTGGTACCGGTGGCGATGCTTCAAACTCAAGAGGCACAGACATATTCACCTCAGCGTCCTCAGACGGTTGGATCTGGACTATGATCGGGTTGAGAGTAATTTTTGGTTTCTTTGGGTCATCACCTTCTATGATCAACCTGATTGATCCCTAGGGATCCCAGTCATCTTCTATTTCAATCATGTGGATACCTCTACCCTTATGGTCTGATAGTGGGTTGTTGCGGACGTTTGGATCAGTTTCCTTTGCTACAATAATCTTTTTATCAATCAAAGACTGTATCTTGTCTTTTAAGGAGCGACATTCATCGATGGTGTGCCCTTTCATGTCGGAGTGGTATGCACAGGACTTGTTTGGGTTAACCCACTAAGAAGGATTCTTGGTCGCTCTTTGGCGTTAGTGCGGTCGGTGGTCTGGATGTACAAACATGTTATCTATCACGGGAAGGTTGTATAAGTGTGGCATGTAGTCGTTTGATTGGTTGAAGATTTAAACCAAGTAGGAAGATTGTGGTAATATCGCTAATTTGAGAATGGATGCCTAGAGGGCACTCGATTTATTAGGTTGTGGACTGTGGAGGATTACTTCGGTTATGATGGTTGTCCTTATGTGTTATGAGAAAAAGGGGAGTATTTATGGACCTTTGAGAGGTTATTAGCCTAGTTCAGTGCGATCAGAACCAACTTGAGGTCCGCGGAGGGGTTTAAATGTGAATATGGGCTTTATATCAGGCCAGATATGTTCATTTCAGTAAGGCGCTCCTTGTGGAAGAGCAGTCAGAGTGTTATTTCGTCGTCAGTTATTTCAAGTAATGATATTTTGCGCCGTGTGAGTTGTGAGACGGCTTGGTGAACTGCATATGTGTTGAGGATTCGCGTAGAGACAATGTTATATGAGCTAAATGGCTCTTGAGATTCAGATCATATATCGCACCCCAGTTGTGCTTGAGTTTTGTAGCCTATGGCACTATGTGTCTTTGCGATCGCGTGCTCAGTTCTGCGATCGCGATTCATTGAAGCCCATGCAGCAAAACAATAGCTTCGCCATTTTTTATCCTAAGGCCATTTGATCTCTTTCTTTGGCCTAAATACCTCCTAATTCAATGCTTTAAGTGTCCATACTGGTATTTAACACGTTTACTCCTTTTGTAGGTACTTGATCTCTAAAATGGATTTAGCAACAAATGAAAATGTTCAAGAATATGTCGAACAAGTTGCTGAAGAGGAGTACTTTGATCGGGACATATTCTCATCATTAAGTTGTTCCCGCCGCTACGACAAATACCTTCCTGCTCATCCGAGCTCGGGACATCCATGTCAACATCGAACTGCAATCTTGATCCTCACTTCAACTTCCATGCCCCTCACTGCACCCAACACGCCAATATACGATAGAACACGATTTTCATCATAACTCCGGAACCACTAATAGTTTAACACTTCATCATATAAAAACTTTTCACTTAACTCACTTTAGGAGAACTATAGCAACACACAGGTAAATTCTCATAACCATAGAATATGCAAATCTCTAAGTAGTGGTCTGAGCCGCCATAGCCCTTTTGGGATTCGCCTACACATGACAGGCCATAACAGTGGGATACTTCTGAATAACATCAGTTACGGCGGTCGACAAACCTCACACGTGCCGTCACAAATCACTTGTATAACTTGATCACGTTGAAGGAATTGATCACTGCCACCAATATGCGAATTCAACTATGGCTAACCAATCTATCTCCTTCCAAATTAATTCTTGTTTGCCTTAGAAATAATAATAACTCCCTTCAACACATACCACACTCCATCCACACTCATCCCGAGTGACCTTGACTCACGAGACCATGCTGTCTCAAATCCCACGGACCATTTCGTACCTCCCAATGCTACATCCAGTTTTGAAAATCCTCTCTTAAATATGCGTATCATGCATCATCTTCATCCTTTCTTTGTACAGCCTGGTACTCTCAAAAGCATGGTAACAGAACTCATCAAGTTCATGTAGCTTTGTGACTCTACTCGTACCAGCGGCCTCCATGTCAAGATTTAATTGCCTTAATGCCCAAAAAGCATTATGCTCTAACTCCACCGGTAAGTGGCATGCCTTTCCAAATATCAATTTGTACGGTGACATACCAATTAGAGTTTTGAATGTAGTGCGGTAGGCCTATAGTGCATCATCCAATTTTTTTGCCCAATCAGTCCGAGTAGCTTTTGCACTTTTGGTCAAAACACTCTTGATTTCTCTGTTTGACACCTCCACTTGCCCATTTGTTTGTGGGTGATATGGAGGCGCAATCTTATGGCGAACTCTATATTTCTCCAACAACTTTGTGAAGGCTCGGTTGCAGAAGTGGGTGCCTCAATCACTGATGATCGCTCTTGGAGTGCCAAATCGGGTGAAAATATTTTTTCTTAGAAAACCATGACTCCTTTTGCATCATTTGTTGGGAGTGCCACGACTTCCACCTATTTCGAGACATAGTCCTTAGCTACCAGTACATACTTGTTGCCATATGAGCTGACAAATGGTTCTATAAAATCGATTCCCCATATATCAAATACTCCCACCTCTTGAATTGGGTTCATGGGCATCTCATGTCGACGGGAAATTATTCCCCGTCCATTGGCACTTATCATAGCCCTTTACCCAAAAGTGTGCATCTTTAAACAACATCGGCCAATAAGAGCCTGACTCCAACACTTTAGCAGCTGTCCTTACTCCTCCAAAATGGCCTCCATAAGGCGAATCATGACATGCATGCAAAACATAAGCTTGATCTATTTCGGAAATACATCTCCGAATCATGTTATCAATACAAACCCTAAACAAATATGGTTCATCCCAGAAATACATGGGACAATCACGAAAGAACTTTTTCTTCTACGCAGAGGACAAGTCATAGGGAACAATATCGTTCGCCAGATAGTTTTCAATATCGGCATACCATGGCGCTACCTCAAGGCCTGTGGCTAACAGTTTTTCATCTGGGAAAGTCTCCACGATCTCTTGCACATCAACCCTCTTTTCAGCTCCTTCAAGCCTAGACAAGTGATCAGCAACTTGGTTTTCCGTTCCCTTTCAGTCACGGATTTCCAAGTCTAACTCTTGCAGCAGTAGCAACCATTGAATCAGGCGCGGCTTTTCTTCTCAATTAGGTACCTGAGAAGCATGGTCATTATAAACAATTACCTTCGAGCCTATCAGGTATGACTTGAATTTGTCAAATGCAAACACCACTGCTAGCATTTATTTCTCGGTCACTATGCAATTCAGTTGGGCACCACTCAAGGTTCTACTTGCACTGTAGATTGGATGCGTGACTTTATCTTTTCTCTGCCCAAGAACTGCTCCCACAACATAGTCGCTTGTATCACACATCAGCTCAAAAGGTTGTTCCTAGTCAGGTGCCACTATGATAGGTGCAGTCACCAGCCTCTTCTTCAACTCCTCAAAAGCTACCCTACAGTCATCAAAAAATACAAATGGGTGATCTTTTTAAAGCAATTTACACAAAGAGTTAGCAGTTTTGGAAAAATCTTTTATAAACCGCCTGTAGAAGCCGGCGTGACCAATGAAACTTCTTATGGATTTGACGGAAGTGGGTGGAGGTAACTTCTCAATTACGTCAACCTTAGCACGATCCACCTCAATTCCCTTTGACCATGAAATGGCACTTTTCCCATTTCAGTACCAAATTAGTCTTCATACACCTCTTCAAAAATCTTTTTTAAGTTCATAAGGCAATCATCGAATGAGTTCCCCACCACTGAGAAGTCATCTGTGAAAACCTCCATTATGTCATTTACCATATCTATGAAGATAGCCATCATGCATCTTTGGAACGTGGCGGGTGCATTTCATAGGCCAAACGGCATTCTCCGAAAGGCATAGATGTCATACAGATAGGTGAACAACATTTTCTCTCTGTCCTCCAAGGAAGTAGAGATCTGGTTATACCTAGAGTATCCATCAAGGAAGCAATATTGGGACCTCCTCGCCAATCTATCTAACATCTGGTCAAGGAATGGCAACGCAAAATGGTTTTTTAGGTGGCCTTGTTCAATATTCTGTAATCCATACAGATTCACCATCCCGTGACTTCTTGTTGAGATCAACTCGTTGTTCTCATTTTGCAGTGCAGTCATTCCACCCTTCTTTAGCACACACTGAAATGGGCTAACCCACTTGCTCAGAGATAGGGAAGATGATTCCCGTATCTAACCACTTGATCACTTCTTTCTTCACTTCTTTCATGTTGGGATTCATCCTTCTTTGATGTTCTCTGGTAGGTTTGTGCCCATCTTCCAGTAGAACCTTATGCATATAAAATGTTGGGTGATACCCTTTATGTCTATAATGATCCACCCAATTACAGTCTTGCACTCCTTCGGAACCTACAAAAGTTATTCTACCTGCACATCTAACAAACCGGATGAGATAATAACAAGTAATGTCGAACTAGGTCCCAAGAAAGTATGAGGTGGGACGACAATGGTTTTAGCTCCAATTGTGGTGGCTCCTCGATTGATGGATTAGCTGGAGGGGTCTTTCTTTCTTCTAAGTGTAAAGGCTCGAATTTGAGATCTCTTTTCCAGTACCATTGGCCTTCAAGGGCCAAAACCCACTCCGCCATGTCCTCACTACCCACCTCTTCTAAGTTCATCAGGCAGGCTGTTATGGGGTCTTTTGCATTTAGTGCCTCATCTTCCTCATCCAAAATCACATCCACGACTTTGATCAGAGAGCAATTAGCAAACGCATTGGGTCGCCTTATAGACTTATGCACATTGAATGTTATTTCTTCACCGTTCAGTCTCATCTTTAGCTCCCAGTTTCATAATCAATCAAAGCTCTCCCTATGGCCAAGAATGGCCTTCCCAAAATTATGGGAATCTCTTCATCAACCTGGAAGTCTAGAATGACAAAATCTTTCGGAAACACAAACTTTCCAAACTGCACAAGTACATCATCAAGTATACCTGATGGCCTCTTCACCGTTCGGTCGGCTAGCTGTAGTAACATGGATGTGGGTCTTGCCCTTCCAATGCCTAAACTCTTATAGATAGACAAGGGAATCAAGTTTATTCTCTACCTCAAATTACACAATGCTTTGCAAAAGCATAGCTACCTATGGTGCACGGAATTGTGAAACTCCCTGGGTCGATAGCTTCTCAGCTATAGGTCTTGTCACGACAACACTGCAGGTCTGAGTCTGTGTCACAATTGCCAAATCATGAAAGTCGAACATGCGAGACATCAAGTCCTTCATCATTTTTGCATAATCGGGCATCTCCCTCAAGGCATCAATCAGTGGAATGTTCACTTGAATCTGCTTCAACATCTCCATGAATTTCTTATACTGCTCATCCTTCTGGTATTTGGCCAACCCCTGCGGGAAGGGTGCTGGAGGTCGCTTCTTTCTTGTGGCTTGAGTTAGATCGTGCTCAGGCACTTTTTCTAATGCCTTCTCTTTCACCTTCTCAGTATCCTTTGCAACCTCTTTTTCTTTGTTTAGTTCCTCATGGGTTGGCTGCACTCTTACTTCTATTAGCTCAGTTGACTCATCTACCTCAATTGGTACTGGCACAAGTATCTCAGTTGGTCAGTTCTCGCGAGTAATTTCTTGCTCTAAATTAAGATCTCTACCATTTCTCAAACTCACAACCATCAGCTGCTTCGGGCCCTGCTCTTTCAGGTTAACATGTGTGTCCGCAGGTAACATCCCTTGAGGTCGATTGTTAAGGGCCATGGATATTTGCCCTAGTTAAATCTCAATTCCCTTGATAGCTGAGTCATGTGATACTAAATTTTCGTGCATCTGGTGGACCTTTTCTTCTATTTTCCCGCTGGACCCAATAAGTTATAGCAACATTCCTTTAATTTCAAAAAACCTATCATCTTGTCGCACTATCTGTTGCTATTGAGGTTGCTGATAAGCTAGTTGCTAATTCTGCTGATTGTACCCTTATTGCCTTTGATAAGGCATAGCTTGACCCTATGGTCATGCAGTTCCAGGATGATTATTATTATTATTATTATTATTATTATTATTATTATTATTATTATTATTATTATTATTATTATTATTATTATTGTACTGCTACTGTGTTGGCCTATATTGTTGATTCTGATGTCCACAAGTCTGACCACCTCGTCTCTGATCTCTATAGTTACCCACATAGTTCATATTCTTTTGAAAGTTCTGATTGTCACTCTCACCACTCCACGAGCACACATATGGCTGATTAATGCATGTGTGCATAATCCTTCATTTGTCGTGTCAACTATGTGCACCTGCTTTTGGCCTGACTCATCAATCTTTTTGGTTAGGATACTCAACTGCGTCATCATAGTGTCCATATTCTCAACCATTGAGTTGATTGGGTCTGGAGCTATTGAGTGTACTACAGGAATGATTGTAGAGTCCCTTATCATCCATCTCGAGTTTTGAGCCATTTTATCAAGTAAGACCTTACATTCTATAATTGATTTGCTCAAAAATGCTCTGCTGAAGCATCAACATTGGCCTTCAAGTTGTCTGATAATCTCATGTAGAACCTTTGCCCCAGCTTCTGATCAGGAATGACATGGCATGGACACTTCACGAACATCCCCTTGAACTTCACCCACGTTTCTTGCGATGTATTAACTGGTTTCTGCCTAAAGCAAAATATCTCATCAACTTGCTTGGCAGTCTTATTGGGTGGGTAAAATTTGTTCAAGAACTTCTTGACTAATTCCTCCCAAGTAGCGATGGAGTTTATGGGGAGCGAATTGAGCCAAGTCTGAGCCTCTCCCGTCATTAAGAACGGAAATAACAACAGTCTTATCGCATCCGATGTCACATTCGGTTGCCTTTGCGTGACACAAATCATCAGAAAATTTTTTAGATACTGCTGTGGATCTTGAATGTAAGACCTCGAGAACATTCCCTTGTTCTGCAACAAATGTAGCATGTTTCTATAATTTGAAATGATTTCACTTGTATTGGAGGGACAGCAATTGCGGTTGCCAGGTTTTTAGCGGTGGGTTGCACCCAATCATGCAAGGCTGCTTTCTGGAACAAGAGGTGCCATACCCTGATTATTCGGGTCATCCACATTATTTCTGTTGTTTGGGTTATCTATTATGTCACCCATGTCTAGTTCGATTCGTTCTGTTGAGTTCTGTTGTCGTTTGTCTTTCTTGTTTGCTCGATTTAGTGCCTTGAAAGCTTTCTCAGGGTCCGGTGATGCTTCATACAATTCACCAATTCTTGAGGAGTTTCTAGGCATGCACCTGTAACACACAAGACTACAAACGTTAGAATTTCAATATAATGAATTTCAAGTCGAGAAAGTTGTCACACCCCAAACCTGGGGAGGCGTGGCTGGCAGTCGATGCCGTACTGGCCCGAGCGAACCATTCTGTAACTCATTCTTTCTGTGACGATCGTGGGCCAACATGGCAACAACTCATAGTGCATAACTATAAGTGGACGAACACTGCGTCAATGAACCATCGTTCTTTAAACATGAATACATATGGGCCGTCAAGGCCTCTGACATACTGTACAAAATGAACCTCTATGTACAAAGCCTCTAAGATAATTTGACATCAAATGGGACAGGGTACCGGCCTACCCATAAGTCTGTAGAAAACTCTGACACGATGATTTATAGACTCGGCTGCACTCCAAATGAGGTGGAGTCTTACCGATCCTTCCCTGACTGCTAACCTCATATATTATGAGGGCTCGTCAAACTGATTATCTATACCTGCAAGCATTAATGCAGCGTCCCCAACAAAAAGACATCAGTACGAATAATGTACCGAGTATGTAAGGCGAAACTGAAACATAACAATAAGTCAACATTATTTAAAGACATATAAGAATCAACCTGAATCTCTGAAGTGCTACCGTATATGCATACTTATTATAATTATATATATAATGCTTCTCTTTGATACTATTATCCATATCTTATGATGCATGACTTCCCAACTGATTAGTGATAGCTGCCCGACCGGCTGTCGAAAGGTGGTAAATATATGACTGCCCAACCGGTGGTAAATAATGATACATAACTGCCCAACCGGTGGTAACTGGCCAACCGGTCGTAGCCCGGTATAAATGCATATCTTCCCGACCAGCCGTAGCACGGTGGTAAATGAATATGCATGACTGCCTAACCGGTCGTAGCACGATGGTAAATATGTAACTGCCCAATTGGCCGTAGCTCGATGGTAAATGCATGACTACCCGATCAGTCGTAGCTCGATGGTAAATGCATATGCATGAAGATGTATGTATTACTATAGTATAAACATTAACATCTTTATCAAATACCTCAATAGAGACTTCGGTACATACTTAGACATGCTTGAATATCATGTTACAAGAACGAATAACATAGACATCCTTAACTGCTAAGAGTAGAATCATTTATGGAATAACATTACATTTACGTATCGTTTCTTGGATCATGCCAAAAGAAAGAAGGGATAGCCTTAGCATACTTGAGCCGATTATCTTGACAATCCCTTTACACGCGTTAATTGCGACAACATGTAACGGCGGATCGAAGTAGGGAAAATTCGTATGATATTCTTGAGAAAGATTGCATCGTACTCCCTTAGAATTGCAAATTCTCACGTTGCTAAGCATTGCAAGAATTCATATGAAGTCTGTGAGCACCTAATTTTTGCCCTAAATGAAAATAACTCCTAAAAATAAACCAAAAATGATTTTTTAGGGGATTTTAGAAGTTTTTCTTTATTTAGTTGCATTTCATGCATTTTTAATATTTTAAAATCATAGAAACATCATAAAAAATTGTCACGTTTTAATTTCATGCCATCTTAGGTTCAATTTGCATGTAGGAATTAATTTTAATAAAAAAAATCACAAAAATGATCATTTTTACATATTTAGCTTTTAGTCTATAGAAAGTAGTGTTTTTATTAAGTTTTAAGTTAATTAGTTATTTTAATAGATAAACAATTTTAATTTTTACAAATTAGATTGATTTAGGATTTTATTAGATTTTAAAATCAAAGAAAAAGATAATTGAAAAAAAAAAGAATTTTGATTTAGTCTTCCTACCCCAAAGTTAATTAGCCCAAGTTCATAACCCAAATCCCTTCAAGCCCAAAACATTGAACCCATACCCATTTCTCATTTGACCTAACCTAATTCCTACCCCTATAAAATAATGCTAACTCCTAAAACTAAAAAAAAAGAAAATGGTATATACCAGATTTATCTGTGTTCAATAGTATGATAATGATGCTGGGCAAAAACAAATTGATTGGAATGGCTGAACAACTCTTTGTGGACCTGACGAAGGAGGGCTTACAACCAGACAGCAGAACCTATACTGAGTTTATCGGGGCATACTTTAGAGTAGATCTCGTAGAGAAGGCAATGGAAATGTATGAACTGATGAAGAAATCAGGATTCCTCCCAGATAAGTTGACTATGAGTATTTTGATAAGGAGCCGAAGAGAAAGAGCTTGTGGCTAGAGTAAAGAAAGAATGCGCCGACTATATTGACTATCCAGAGAAATTTCTAAAAGAAATTGAAAGTACCAATGTAAGTAGATCAACTCCCTGTAACGAATATAAATTTTCCATACATGGAGTTATGGTTTACTGCTATATGTGTTCTCCATTATTGTACTGAAATGGAAGCTACCCTGTCATTCTGGTAAAAAAAAAAAAAAAAAAAAGGCGCAGCAGCTAAGAAGAGGACCTACCTACCCCATCAAAATTCATTCTCTTTTTGACTTGAGAAAAAACCATGGAACTCCACATCCTAAACACCTATTTTTCCAGCCATTTGCTATCATCTTCAACAAAAAATGAAACCTAAATCAAACCACCTTTAAACCGGTAGCCATGTCTTTCTTTTCTTCTCTTCTTTCCTAAAAACAATCCCAGCTGAACAAGGGACCAAAACAGTACCAAAATAAGCAGAAACAACTCCCAGAAAAGGGTACGGAACCCCTATAAACTTGACCCCAAATAAACCTAAAATCACGCCATTGAAGCAGCCCAATCGCCACCTAAAATCAGCCAGGTTTTGGCCTGAAACTATTCAGATCTAGCCGGTCTTACGATTTTCGACAATTCGAGTTTCGATTTTCAATCGAGGTTTTGTCCGGGTTTGAGTTTAGAAGAGATTTTCTGCGCTTGCCGATTCACTCTTGATTCGGTGCTCTTGTTTGGCATAGAGATATTGTACTAATCAAGTTCAGATAAGAGAAGTTGCTTGCTAAGGTCTCTTTCTTACTTATTTTGGTTCAGTAATACATGTTTATAGCTACATGAATGAATATGTTCTGTTTTATGAACTTGTTAATTGCCCGTATTTTGGTTTCTGCCATTTGTGTTCATCCCCTTGATGTGGTAAGCATATTAACTGGTGTAGTAACTGATAATATCCACTTTTAGGATTTGCATAAGGTTAGTTTTAGTTCCTTTTCTTATTTAAGTCTTGTGAAACGGAATTTTTTTTTTTCAATTTTAATGTTATATAGATACTCTGGGATTTTTATTCCTAAACGTGTTTGGCATTGTTGTAAATCTATATAATAACTTGCATTTATGTTTTTCCTCATTTTTTGGGGGTTTTTGTACTATTTTCCCGTTTATCTCCTTTATTATTAAAGTAAAAGTTAAACATTTTCCTTGAAAAGGCACCTATGAAGAAGCTGAACGGCCATATTCTTCTACAATTTATGGATTCATTGCAGCATTTGATATGATGTGTTAAGCATATTAAATTGGTGTAGATTAGTTTGCTTTTTTTTTTTTTAGTTTAATTAATATTGGCTGTGACTCTTTTATTTGTAGTTTAAATGCAAATGAATATAAATATTGGGAATGTGGACAAAGCTATCATGTAAGATCTTTGAAGCCTACAGTTTCACATTAGGCTACTAACGTGTACAGTAACATCTAATGTAAGGCAAAAATGAAATAATTTTGGTAATATAAGCAAAGTGTGTCGTCTCATTAAGATGCGACGTACGCTGTTGGGATTAATTAGCTTTATGAAAATAGTTAATGAACATCGTAGCTTGCTTTAGGCGCGTTTGTAATAAAATCATCACGGCTACGAGTACGGTTTCCGTGACGTAGCTGTGATATTTAATTCCCAAATCCGGGGTACATTTATGTGATCCGGCCACAACTTCTAATAACTTTAATAAATTAAACATGTTGTAGATCGTGGGTACGGTTCCCGTGATATAATTCACAATGTGTAACAAACAAACAAGTGTACGATAATCGTAAATTGTTCCAGAATAATTCCATACAATAATTAAAAGCGGTTTTAAAAGTTTAAAATGCACAATAGATTTAAAACGTGTAGTAAATCCGATAATAGGCTAATATTAATAATTTAAGTGACCGTGCTAGAACTACGGAACCCGGGAATGCCTAACACCTTCTCCCGAGTTAACAGAATTATTTACTTAGAATTTTTGGTTCGCAGACTTTTAAAAATAAAGTCGAAATTTCTTCGATTTGAGATTTTAAAAAATAAATCGGTGACTTGGGACACCAAATAAACTATTTCAAGTGGCGACTTTGATAAATTAATTAATCCCATTTCGAATAATATCACTTTAATTGAAAAAACCTTTAGATACCCCTCGGGTAGTAAAAAAGGAGGTGTGACACAATCTTGTTGAAATTTTCCTTTTGTTGTTTCAAGAATTAGTCTCTTTTGATCAACGTAGTGTTTTCTTAAATTTTTATGAACATGAAGTTGGAATTTTCCTTGCTATGAGGGTTGGATAAGTATGTGATGAATGAGAATAAGCACAATTCATATGCTCTAAAATGATAGCCTTAGCACGACATCTTCTTTAATTGTCTTTATCAAGGTGGTGATGACTTGCTACAAAAATCCCTTAAATTTTGTCACCTAATTACATGAAATAAGAGTCACACTTTGGCTTTGATGAAGATTCATTGTGCGGCCACGTTTTGGCTCATTACCCTTATCCAAAGACTTGAATTACTCAACCACTAATTATTAATTAACTAGTTAATTCTCACATTACCCAATAATTCATATAATTAAGGATTATCTCAAATTACTTAAAATACTACTCACTTTTAACACACCTTATACACCTTATTATCATGGTCATGTCATACCTTGTATGGCACTAGTCCATAAATATCGGGTATTATAACTCGGACCGTATAAAAAATACATACACTAATATTTCATTAAAATATCCATGTAAAATATATATTTTATCAACTTCTAATTTTCCTAATCTCATATAAAGAGTATAAAATTTCGTACGCTTAGTTCTTAAAATGGTAAAAAGATAATCTTTTTTTCTTGTGAGAAAATAATTTCTATCTTTACAATAAAGAAAATCTCCTTTATAAACTTTCTCATATTATGTGTATAATTTAAAGCATATTCGAAAGTAGTAATATTAATAACTATATAAAATTATTATTTTGTTCAAACTATTTTTGCAAAAAGTGTTCCACTCAAAATACCATATCAAATATATATATATATATATAGCGGTATCAAGGTTGTTAAACTTACGGGGTCTTATAATGACATAATCACAAATCCTTTATGATCTCATAAAGGGTGTTAATCCCTTCAAGCTCATATGAATTACTACGATACGACATATCCTAATACTAAAGTACGGGATGTAACAAAAGCTGACTAAACTAAGAATTCTAACAATTCTTTTAGCGGTAATTAATAACACCGTTAATTTTCCGACAACGATGCCAAAATTTGATCACACCCAACTATGCCTCCTAAGAGGCCTATCGGTCGTTGCAAATACAATCTGGTTTACAAATCCGGAGTCGAATCCCACAGAAAATTAACCTACTAATTACAACCACTAGTTTCACACGAATTCAAGTAATCAACCTTCAGAAATATTAAATAACGATTTGAATGCTTACTAACTAAGATCAAAGTAATTAAAATGCAGTAATTTATAACTAACAGAACAAATATTGTGGACAAGATTTGAAAAAGTCTAGGGTTATGATTTTCCCTATTGTCGGAATCTCCCCTGCCACGTTTCCTATAAATTTGCCTAGGTATTCTCTACCGATCGTGAGTACTTTGGGTGCCTTATCTCTCTCTCGAGCAACTACACAATTTACTAGACGTATTCTCTCGAACTGCGCTAGTCGGCACTAATTCGCTGCTCACTACGATCGCACCAAGGTTTCGTTATCTCTAATCCCGCCTTTAAACCCTCCATATTGATCTCTCAAATACATTTGGAGCAGTGTTATTCAATAACGACCTAAATGTGTACTCTCTCTCGAGCAATATACATAATAAATAGGCACAGTTAATTGAGAGATCTTCAATCAACAACAACGAAAATATAGTTAAACAAGTAGAGAAAGATCAACGGCAAATTTATACTAAACGTAGTGAAAAAGCATCCTTCAATATGTTTCATCAAACCCTAGATGAGAGAGTTTAGCTACTCATAAATGTATCAACAATCATCATGATGTTCAAAGACATTAAACTACAAACTAAAGAGATAAACGGAAGAAAAACACATTTGATTCTTGCCCACAGTACTCTGTAGCCTTTTTCTTCTCCAAAATAGTGTCCAACGCTTTTTCAACTCGTTTGGGGAGTGTTTATATATTAGGGCCGAAATCCCTCAGTCCAAATCCGGGTTGGACTCTTTTAACCGGCAACTTCTAATCACCAGGGTATAGACCTCGCGAGGCCAGACTTATAGCGCGGTCAGCCTGGCTACGGAGCTGGCTACGCCTAGCCTGTATCACGGTCAAGCTGGCTATACTTGGTCTGTAGCACGGTAAAGCAAGCTATAGAGCTGGCTATGCTTGGCCTTAGCACGGCTTGGGTAGTTAGTGATTTTGTGCTCTTTTTTTGCATTTTCGTCTTCTTTTTGTGCAACTTTCATTTGACTCTTTTTTCCAATGCTCCTACACATAAAACAACACAATTTAGTTCAAATGTCGCACAATTAATCACTAACCCCACAAAATATAAGGCGAGTAATGTACTAAAAGTATAGCATTTTGGCCGAACATCAACCTGTTAAGCACCCGATGCACTTATATATATGTGTCTATTTAACATTTCAAAAATATTAAGCCAAAAACCAAGCGCATGTAAAACACATGCCTTTGTACTGTAGGATTTTCAAGTATTTTTTTCCACTATGTGTGTGTTTGGTATAACGGAAAATATTTCCGTGGAAAATATTTTCTTGGAAAACAAGTAGTAGTTTTATTCATTTTTTGGTGTTTGGTACGTAAATTAAGGAAAATGACTTCTTAAGAGTATTGATAAATAATTTAGATATAATAAACATGAAGCCATAAACTTTCAAACCAACAACCTTCCGAACCCACAAATTTTATAAACTTTCGAACCACTAAACTTTCGAAACCGCGGAATTTTGAACCCATAAACTTTATAATTTATAAACCCGTAAACTTCCAAACACATAAGCCTCCACACCCATAACTTTGGAATTTGTAAAATTTGAACCTTTAAAGCGATAAATAAAAAAACTAAAACAGAAAAATATATTTAAAATGGGAAAATTGGAAAACATTTTTCGAAAAATATTTTCCTTCGTACCAAACACACCCTATATATGGATGCATTTGCCATTTGGTATGGATAAAACATTTTCTATTTTTGGTTAAATATAAAAGCAGGTTAGGATTGTCATAGGAAGTGGAAAGTAGAGACTGATAATTGTTGCTAATTTTTTAAGTATTAAAAGTTGATAATAATATAAGTGTTTTGGGGGATATGGGATAGATGAAAGCTAATTTCTCCAAGCTTATCATTTGGATCATTTCTAACATTATATTCTTCCATTATATTATGCAGGCTACCATTGGTTTTGATTTTTGTCAAAGAGATAGAACAGTTCGCTTTGCAGCTCTGGTATACTAGGTGGTGCTAGCCCGTGCCAGCACGCACTACTAGAAATCCGGCAAAAAGCGACCACAAAAAGCGATCAAAGTTGGTCGCTTATAAGTCCAAAAGCGACCAAAAAGCGACCAAAGAGGCCTGGTAGCTATATTGATGGTCCCTTTATTTTAGGGACCAAAGTTGGTCGCTAATTCCGGATAAAGACTATAGCGACCAACTTTGGTCGCTTTATTATTTTAATAATATAATTTTGGCGGCCAAAGTTGGTCTCTAAATGTAAAAAACGTTATTTATTTATTTATTATTAATCATAAAAAAGCAACCAACTTTGGTCTCTAATTCAAATATTATATTTTAAAATCTGGAAAATAGAGACCAAGGTTGGTCGCTTTTTTATTAATTTTTTTTAAAGATAAGCGACCAAAGTTGGTCGCTAATTTCAATAATTTAATTTTTTTTTAAATATAAGCGACCAAAGTTGGTCGCTATATTTCCAGAAATTATTTTTTTTAATGGAATAGCGACCAAGGTTGGTCGCTTTTTGAGAAATCTGGGTTAAATAGCGACCAACTTTGGACGCTATTGCCCAAAAAATATTTTTTTTAAATAGAAAAGCGGACGCTTTTCTGGGTATAAATGAATTTCTGGGAAAAAAAATTAATTTGCCACAAAATAATACTAGCAGTTTATAAATGCTGCAATACCTATTTCAAAATTTAAATTTTTGGGACTCAAAATAATTTTATTAAATAACTCATACAACAAAAAACAAATTTGACATTACAAATCAAATTCATATCAAACTAAACTTTACAAACAGGTACTATATGATAACTTTAATATTAGACAATTTACAGTAGTTCCTCAACAAATAAATATACAAAAAATACATTAAAAAAGAAAAAGAGAATTCTGTTGCTCTTCGTTCTTCATCTCTCCTTCATTTTGCTTGTTCCTATTCTGAAAAAATAAAAAAAAATCACAATTAGTCAATAACATCATTTTCAGTCAATCGCTTAACAAATAATGTGAGAAATAATTGAAAGAAACAAACAAAAAAAATTGAATAAATATCCAGATCTACATGTGTGAAGTTAGAAACTAAAACAAAGAAAAAAAATTAAAAAGTAAAACAAAGCAAATCGCTGCAAAATCGTGAAAGCCACAATGGAAAAGGTTGCTGTGAGGTGGGTTTGTTTGCTAAAGAACTTAAAGTCAAAGGAGATCAAAATCACTGCTCTTGTGGTTGAAGAAAGTATTGACAGAGAATCAAGGGAAAATTTTAGGAAGTTAAAGAAAAAGAGCACTAACCTGAACAACAAAACGCCGTACAGCGATGCTCTTTCCATGGTCTCTAAGCAGTGCTTTAGCAGAAAAAAGAGAGAAGAAAAAAATAAGGGGAGATTGAGAGAGAAGGGTGACGGCGCTAGGCCTTAAGGGGGATCTGATTGTGTTCTCTAGGGTTTGGAAAGGTGAGGTTTTAAAGTGAAGGGGTGCTGAGCCGAGTATAGGAGTGGGTCTGGGGAATTTTAAGGCCATTGGGCCGTTACATCAGGCCCAATCTGCTTTGGTCGCTTTTTTTAGAAATCTGGGTAAATAGCGACCAACGTTGGTCGCTATGACTGTTTGATCAAAATAGAGACCAACGTTGGTCGCTATTTTTGACTGTTTGACCAAAATAGCGACCAAAGTTGGTCGCTATTTCTAAAAAAAAAAATTAAATAACTTTTTTTTCTATTTTGGTTTTTAAATATTATAAGCTATAAAAAAAATCTTATTAGCTATAAATATTTATTTTATTTAACTACAATTATTATAAATAATTAAAAACTATAAGCATAATATTAAAAAAATTATATTAACTAGGTAATTACTTTTAATAGATTGTAATACCATGTATGTAAAGGAATTTTTAACTTATATTTAAGTATATGAGTAATTTCATACACACGCATAAACTATGTTGTAATTGATGATCAATCTTATTCATTCATCACTAGGTTATAAGTCGATGAATCAATTATAAGAGATAAATTGATATAAGTCGAGACGTTTTGTTTTTAATATTCAACGATGCATCTGAGTAGGTTATAAGTCGATGAATCAATTTACAGTTTAAGCAATCCCTGAAAGAACCGGACCCTGTGTTCCTAGCGCTTCATGTTCTTATATATATATATATATATATATATATATATATATATATATATATATATATATATATATATATATATATAGACACATACACACATACACATACACACACAGAGACACTTCACTGTAATACTATAACGTATATATAACATGTTAAAGTAGCACGAAGTGTGTGTGTTATATATATACACACACTAACATATACTATAACAAGTTATATAAACGTTATAACATTATAGTGAAGTGTCTTGTGTGTGTGTGTGTGTGTGTATGTGTGTGTGTATATATATATATATATATATATATATATATATATATATATATATATATATATGTATACACATATACTAACACTTGTTATAGTATATGTTAGTATGTGTGTGTGTATATATATACACACACACATAGACTCTTCACTGTAATACTATAACGTTTATATAACTTGTTATAGTATATGTTAGTATGTGTATATATATAACACACACACTTCGTGCTACTTTAACTACATATATAGCATGTTATAGTACATGATACTGTATTCATTATTTGTATTGTAACAGAGTTAATGGATTACATTCATCCATCACTAGGTTATAAGTCGATGATTCAATTTTATATATATATAACACGCTTCATTGTACTACTTTAACTACATATATAGCATGTCAGAGTATATTTTAGTGTATTCATCCCTTGTATTACAAAAGTGTTAACAGATTACATTTATATTATTTAGATAGTAAATACAAAAGTGATTTTTAATTTTGACCAATGTTGACCTGAAAAGAGACCAACTTTGGTCGCTAATTATCCAGAAATTCAAATTAGCGACCAAAGTTGGTCACTAAATATCCAAAAAATTAAAATTAGCAACCAATGTTGGTCGCTAAATTTAAATAGATTTATTTATATTTTATACAATATTTAAATTAATAATATAATTGTTAGACGTTAGAACTGGGTCCCAGATTAGCGACCAAAGTTGGTCTCTATCTGCTTTCCCTTTAGTAAGCGACCAACTTTGGTCGCTAACTTTGAATTATATTAATTTATATTTTATAATTTTTTTAAATAATAATATTATTATTAAAAATTTATAACTGGGTCCCAGATTAGCGACTAAAGTTGGCCTCTATCTGCTTCCCCTTTCGTGAGCGACCAACTTGATTTAATTCATGTTTAGGATTTTGCTTTTGGCATCCATCATAGATTTGCAAAATTCCGTAGTGTTGTGGTCTTGCTCTTGAATCTTATTTTCTAAGACAATTTTGGGCACCCACTTCTGTTCATTCACTTGAGAGGAGTATTTGGTGGATGGAAAATTGGGCATTGAATTGATGAAAAAAACTGGCGCAACTTCAAATGTTCTAAAATGAAAACAAAATCTTATATTGCTAGTAGATTTTAAGCTCTATTCCGAAAAATTGCTGCTGCATTACCAGGGATGAAACACTATCATTCACAAAATCAGAAGATATGGTCGACGTGAAATTGAAGCCTACAACAGATACATCTAACACGGAGCAGCAAGAGGGAGGTTGTGTGGAAGACAGAGATAAAGAAGTTGGATACAGGAAAATGCAGTTGCGTCCAGTTATTATTACGAAGTTCAATTAGCTAATTTCTTAGATAAAAATGAGCTTTTTGTCAGTTTAGTTTGTACAAATCCTTTTGGCTCTGACGAGGAGGAAATCATTGAAGATGCACTTGTTGCTGTTATGTAACGGCTTTTCTTTTCCTAATTCAGGAATTCGTTTCTTTTGGCCATTCTCTGTGCCGTTCATGATGAAAGTTGATCATTTCAGTTAGACTTTTAGCCTGTGTTAGGACACTTGTGAATGACACCTTTTCTTCCCTTTTATGATAAATAAATACATGTGATTGGCACTTACCCTTTGAAACCTCAGACCCTGCTCTCCAACCCCAAACACCTGAGGCTTTTGCGTTTCTGTACGATTCTTCTACAGCACTGTGTACATCCGAGTGAGAGACATGAACCGCGACACTTGATTGAGCGCGCAAAAGCAAGATCAGGAAGATTAGAAGTGAGATAGAAGACAGAGAAAAAGGCTCCGATATTGAGTGCGACTAGAAAAATGAGAGAAATTAGTAGCGTCTAAAGAGGATATAGAAAAGAGAGACAGATACAGACTTAGCATTACAGAACAGGTAACACAATAACCACATCTTTGAGGTCTATTTAAGCTATAGTGCTTTATTCAACCCACAAACATGAAGAGAAAAGTTTGGGTGAATCAAATCAGTAGATTTTTCCATGGATACCACTTCACTAAGAGTACCATATAAGAATGTGTTTTTAACATCAAATTGATGAACTAGCCAACCATTAGAAGCAGTAGAGTAAACCATTAGAAGCAGTAGAGTAAGAACGATACGCATAGTGATTGGTTTTCACCACACGACTAAAATGTATTTTCCAAATACGTTTTACTAGTTTTCCCTTCTAAATTGTTAAAATCTTCAACGGGAAAACCACACTTCCAGTAAAGGACCTTTTTTTTTGTTTGAGGGGTGGGTGGGTGGGTGGGTGGGTATATGCTTTCTCCATCTCTCTTCTTGAGAAACATACACTAAGCAAAAAGAAACTTAACTGGAAAGCAACACGCAGCAAATTGATCAGCTTTTATACTAACTGCTAGCTTTATGTACAGATGACGAAGGATTCCTACTCATTGAACATTAATGAAGAAATACAATCGAGAAAAGATATTCATTGAAAAGCTTACATTCCTAGCAAAACTCTTTTCACAAATGATGGGCGTGAGTGGATGACAAGAGAAGCAGAGACTAAACATTACCAGCCCCATCAATGCTCATTCTAACTCTTAGAGTAAGGTAAATGAGTATGATTGTGCCCATGCTCGACCTGGGAAAGGGAGAGAGTTTAGTCAATTGCTTGCTATATAGAAGTGATAACAACTAAAGAAGTAGTAATAGAAAAAGACATGTACATTCTAGAACAAAAGAGACCATGTAACTAAAGTCGCATGCATCTCTTCCACATGCTCGCACTTAATTTGAAAAGAATGTCGCTGCAAATTAGCTAACATATATATCCATCGGTTATATAAGTTGTTATAATATACTGTAACAATTTATTTCTGAAAATTGTCCTTTATTTCTTCCTAGGCTTCGTTCATACTTACAGGAAATCGATACCTCCAAAAAGAAAACATGCTAAAAAAAAAAAAAAAAAAAGGGGGACCATTTTGTCAATATAACAATTTATTTCAGAAAATTGTCCTTTATTTCTTCCTAGGCTTCATTCATACTTACAGGCATATCTATTCCTCCAAAAAAGAAGACATACAACAACCGTAATGAATCAACATTTCTAATCACATGCCTTTCAAATTGGCTCAGTCTTACAGACAATTATGCAAATACTTTTGAGCCCCATAGCCATCCTCGTCCATATTTCTTTTTCAAGAATATTTAAACATTACAACTAATCTCCAGTAGAGACTGTGATAAATACTACTGTCTTGATTCTTGTTTGATGTTTAGATGACTTTTCTCGTACATATTCTTTCCGAATAGATAATTAAGTATTCAGTATACTGTCGCAGTGTATTTCCCAGTAGAATCATCTATGGAGATGAGCCAATTAACAACTTATAACTATCAGAAGAAATAGAAGAGAACACTTGGTACAATACATGAATCAAAATTATCTGTATTCAACTCTGATTAGTACGTTCTGAAAAGGAAATACATGCAATTAGAAACCTATTGATTAATGACTACTCCTTTGGAATAGGCTACTTTGCCTCATGGTTAGCAAACCAGTATATCTTCCCTTCCTAACTTATCTACTGAAAAACAAAATATTCTTTCCTCTCATCATATGTTGTCTAATCACCATAACCCAAGATGATGAAAAAAGAAAAAGCAGCCACAANNAACCAGGTCATTAAGTTGTCTAAACAATGTAACTCAAAATCTAGTGACCGCCCCAAACCCCAAAACAAAGGCAACCCTACCTCTTTATAATAAACATCAACCACATCCTATTAACCTTATCATCCCTATCCTGTCTGCAGTAGTTAAAAGCTTACCACATCCTATTAACCTTATAATCCCTATCCTGTCTGCAGTAGTTAAAAGCTTTTAACCTTATTATTCCCTTACAAAATGTTTTCCATCTCACAAACAAAAAAAAAAAAAAAAAAA